GCTGTTACATAAAAACCACTTCTATATTTGATTTGGGGGGCATATTGACAAACCCGAATAGTTCATATGGTGATTTGTAAAAAAAATAGTTTATATGGTGATGCGCCAAAACCGTAATAGTTCGGATGAAAAAAAATATTTCACCCTTTACTTAACGTCACGTGTTAGCCACCTCGTTAAAAAGTATAGATCCTAAAATGGTGGTCCCGTGACCTCTATTTTAAAGTAAGTCACGTGATATTATGAGTATGAATCTTGGGGATGTATTAGAAAATACTTGGGATTTTGGGCTAATTTGCAAGATAATTCGCAAGTTCTTTTTATGGCACATTGACCCCAACATTCCATGTATCTTACAATTTATTCCTTTAAAACAAATTCATAGGTGGCTCTAAGACATGGGGTTAACTGTCAATTTCTTCGGCTCTAAGACATGGGGTTAACTGTCAATTTCTTCGTAACTATTGCCTATTGCGTTGGGCCTATCAGAATGACTGAATTGGACCAGTTCTCGATATGGGCCATAGACTGGCTTGGCCTGCACAACTGTAGCCCATTAGTAACAAAACCCAGCAAAACACTTCCATGAAAAAAGAAAAAGACATGCACAAATTCATAACAAAGAAACCATCAAAGACTCAACCAAATAATCTGTTCATGAACAAAACCCAGCAAAACACGAAAACAGAGATAAAGAAAAAAAAAAGCACTGCACAAATTCATAACAAAGAAACCATCAATGTACCTTTGGAGATCAGCTATCAAGCAAAACTACCCAACCTATCTGTACTAAAGACTAAAACAATCCATTCCTAGAAACTCCGAAAAACAGCGTGTTCGAAAAGAACTTCACCAAACCTATATAAACGAGACGCAAGCCCAGCCCAGGCCGACAATCGATCTAAAATAAGGAAAACAGATAACCAAACAGAGAACAATCTTTCAAATTTAAACAAAGATCCCCACCCCCACCCCCCACCCACAAAACACACATCATCAAATCTGCAAGTCCGTAGCCTGACCTCTTAACCTCCCAGTCCGCCTTGCAGCAAGAAACCCCACACGCTGCTCCACACGGGCCCGACCACCCGGAGGCCCATGAAACCCACCTCGATAGTAATCCCTCTCGATCACATAATCCCCCACAACAACAGCTCCCGGCATAGACGACCGGATAGTGCTCAGCACGTCCTCAACGGCCCGTTCGTCCTCGAGCCTCTCCCACCTGGCGGCCCTCGCGGGGTCCACTTCCCGAGGGCAGACGAGTGGGTGCTCGGTTTTCGCGTGCCGCCTCAGCTCTCGGTAGTTTCCCCGGAAAGGGCATCCGTCTTTCGTGCACGAGCGGCGCTTGGCATCCAGGTGGCAGCGCGCGGGTCCCACCACGGTCCAACCTTTGACCGCTCCGCGGCAGAGTGGGCACGAAAGCTCGGGAGGTGAAGTGGGGCCCACGGAGGAGGAGTAGGCCGCCGCCGCCGCCTTTTTGTACTGTTCGAGGCAGTTTGAGTGGCGGTGGCTGGTGGCACACATGAAGGGTCGGCAGCCCTTTTCGTGGGAGGAGCAGAGGAGGAGAACCGCGTTGTGTGGGAACTCCATGCAGACGGAGCAAATAGCGTTCTCATACTCTCGGGTTTCGAGTGGTGGTTGACCTTGGGCTTGGGCTTGGGCCCGTTTATTGGCCTTTGTGGGCCCGAAAGACGGGTGCTTGGAGTTGGAGGAATATTTTTCGTGTCGATTCTTGGATTTGGCCATGATATGAATTGGGAACTTGATTTTGAGAATAAGGGGAAGCCTATAAAGTAATAATAAGTGTGAAGCAATTAAAAATGGAGTCTTTATAAGTAGAACAAATAGCTCAATTCCATGGATTAGATTTAAACTCAAAGTACTTTTATTTTTTCCTTTCTCATATATTGCTTGCATAAACACATCCAGCATGATTAAAAGACGATAACTCTGTACTAAATAATTACATTTATCGAAATTTGAGCAAAAACCAGTTTAAAAGATCAAAACTTTACACTCACAAGCTCTCAATCTACCATAAAATCCTCAATTTAAAACAAAAGAACACACATTAGGGTAAACCAAGGAAGTAATAAGTGTGAAGCAGATAAAAATGGAGTCTTTTTTTAAGTAGAACAAAAGCTCATACCATGGATTAGATTCAAACTCAAACTACCTCTCTCTTTTCTCATACATTGCTTGCATAAACACATCTATCATGATCAAAAGTCGATAACTCTGTACTTATAATTATATTCATCAGATGAGTAATCGAAAATTCGAGCAAAAACTAGGTTAAAAGATCGAAACTTTACACACCCAATCTCTCAATCCACCATAAAATCCTCAATAATAACAATAATAATAATAAAAACCCATTAAACTACGATAACCCAGATAGAAAAACATGTCGATTCTAACGATGAAGTTAATTTTCGTTCCCATCGATAAACAGAGACAACGACAATTAGGTAACCAAAAGCCCCACAATTTACAGATAAAGAACCAAAAGCAAAGAACTTGAGAGCCCAAATTACCTCGATATGAAGAAAACGAACAGGAATCCCAAAAGGGATGGAAGCCCAAATGTGTGGATTAAAAATGGGACAAAGGGTTTTATTATTTTTATCTACGACAATAAATTAATTATAGGCAGTATAATCGGTTGGATTCGAAAGGTTGAGAGAGAAAGGTGGAATTTTTTTTGTTGTCTCTCTCTCTCTCTCTCTCTTCACCGCACCATCTCTGCGCACACACGATATAGGGGCAAACAAACGCCACTACTTCACCTTCTTGCGGCCATTACGCGGTGGTGATGGGTTTTATGTACGGAATGTTAGGGATATGCTGTTATTATTTGTGGATATCTCGTTTTGGTTTTGTAGTTTGTGTTATTTAATTTCAGATTTTTGAAGGTTGTGTGGTGGATGGTTGCGTGACTTAATGAAATACTCTTTTCAATGATCTTATTATTGTTATTGGTTTAATTTTTTTGTTCTTGCTTTTAGAATGTCAATGCAATAATTTAGTGAGAAAAAAAAAAAATTGCGTGGGCTGCCTTTTATTATTTTTTTAATTAAGTGAGATGTAATGAGGTTTTGTGGAATTCAATAATTGAAATATTTTTTGTTGTTGATTTTATTTTATGTTGTCGTGTTTCTTCACAAAAATATACGTGCCACACGTCAGAAATAGGCTTAGTAAAAAAAAATATGTACTCCAATGCAAGTGTAAGTGGACTGGGTCTCGCTTATGTGGCAGCAAGAAAAAGAGACCCGATCTATCCTTAATTCTATTTTAGATCCATGTAGAGATCTAGTCTCTTTGCATTGGAGTTCAATTTTTTACTTTTTTATATTTTTGTCCATGTTAATCAATTAGACCCAAAGCATTGTAGATGCTACTTTTTATTACTTTAATAACTTCTCTTGTTGTTAAAGGAGAAAAAGCAAAGTGACATTATTTTTGGGTTTATTGCACCAAATCCCTTGTATTATACTAAATCTGCGCGTTTTCCCCATGTATTTTAAAAATTGCGTCATACCCCTTGTATTATACTAAATCTGCGCGTTTTCCCCATGTATTTTCACTCTAAAGTCACTGAAATTACTGTTTTACCCCTGAAAAATACTGAAAAATATTTTGCTTATCCCAGGGTTCGATCTCAGGCCAAAAACTCTACAAACAAGGCACCAAACCACCTTGCTACCATCATGGTATGGTATATATTTGACACACACTTATCTAAAAGAATATAAATAGAACAAAACTTTATCAAACAAAAAATAAAATAAAATAATTACAAAATAGATTAACTATAAGAAAATATAATTAAAATAAAATAAAATAAATATTAAACTGAATAAATTTAAATGTGTAATTTGAAAATAATAAAATAATTTTATTATTTAATATTGAAACAAAATGATACTTTCATTAAAAAATAAAAATTTATAAATATAAAATAAATTTAATATAACAATTAAAATATGTTTTCATGAATTGAAGTAATATAATATATATATAAATAAAATAAAATTCTTTAAAATAAAATAAATGATACTTTATTTATTATATATTATTAAAGTAGTAATTTTATAAATAAAACAAATTTAATTCAATAGCTATATATTATTTGTATTTATGACTTTTATTTAGTTTTTATATTATTTGTCTTCTTAAAAAAATAGAGAAATATATAAATTTAATTTTTCAGTAAAATTCGTATTTTAAATTTCTAATAAATAATTTAATTTTATTATTCTTATTTTATGTTCTATTAAATAAAAAATGCTAAAATTAGAATCTGTTATAATTATTTATAATGAGTTATTAAAAATAAGAATAAAATGAGTTATTTAATTCGTATTTTTAAATTAATGAGTTATAAATTAGAATCCATTATAATTATTTACAATGAGCATTTAAAAATAAGAATAAAATAAGTTATTTAATTCGTATTTTATAATGAGTTATTAAAAATAAGAATAAAATGAGTTATAAATTAATGAGTTATTTAAAATTCGTATTTTTAAATTTCTAATAAATAATTTAATTTTATTATTCTTGTTTTATGTTCTATTAAATAAAAAATGCTAAAATTAGAATCCATTATAATTATTTATAATGAGTCGTTTTTTAGTTAAGAATAATAGAATTTTTTATTTATATTCTACAATTTAAAATAGAATTATTCAGTTAATATTTTAGTACATGATTTTAATTATAAATAAATAATTTTAATTTATATATTTTATTTAGTAAAATTTATTTTAATTTTATTTCATTGTCTTAAGTTAAACAAAATAAATATAGTTGTTAACTATGAAATAAAAAGAATAATGCAACAAAATAATATGGAGTAATACAAATTAAAATAAATAATAAAATATAAATGTATATGAAAGTATTTAAAACAAATACAATAAATATTATTATTTTAACTGTAATTTTTTAGATTTATTTATATTTTATTTTAATTATTTTCTTTTGTTTAATATAATAAGTTGTTTAAATTATTTTTTTTGTTCTATTTTATATAATTTAAATTTTTTGTATTCTAATTTATCTTAAGTTTTTTATTTTTTAATAATTTAATTTAATATAATTTACATTATCTTTCAAATTTAATTTTATTTATCCATATGCAATGTTAATATATATTAAACGTTAACACATCCAACACATAAGCATGAGTGGTATAGTGGTTGTATGCATGCTCCTCCCCCAAGGAGGTCGTAGGTTCGAATCCTAGAGGCGCAACATTTTTTTTATTCAATTTATCGCGATTTATTCAAATTATCGCGATATATTCAATTTCTCGCGATATACTGAATATATCATGATAAATTCAATTTATCAGAATTATATATATATAATATTCGGAGGGCATAACAGGAATTTTACAAAAATATTAACGTCGTTAACTTTTATTCAAATTCTCGCGATTTATTCAAATTCTCGCGAAATATTCAATTTCTCGCGATATACTGAATATATCATGATAAATTCAATTTATCAGAATTATATATATATATATAATATTCGGAGGGCATAACGGGAATTTTACAAAAATATTAACGCCGTTAACATGAAAACTGTAAAAGGAGAGCGTGTGCATGCAAACCTTAAATACAAGGGGGTATGACGCAATTTTTAAAATACAGGGGGAAAACGCGCCGATTTAGTATAATACATGGAGGTTTGATGCAATAAACCCCATTATTTTTATTGTCTTCACTCTTCACCCATCAAGTTAAAAGGAGTTAATGCTATATTGTAATAATGATTTTATTAAGGGTGTTACTATTACCGCCCCCCTTTTACTACTCACCGCCCCTCCAAATTACGTTTTTGCCCTTCACACTATCTCTTTACTTTCTCTCTCTACTCTTTTTCTCTCGACTTTTTACGGCTCTTTTGACCGTCAAAAAAATGTCGAAAAAATCCAAAAAAAAATACCATGACATCGGCAAGACATTAAAGATTGACTATGTATTTTTTTTTATATTTTTTTACTTTTTAAATAATTTTTAATTTTTATTTTATTTTATTTTTTTTTTGCGCGTCCGGACGCACCATGGGGTGTCCGGCCGGACCGTCCGGACACACAATATGGCGTCCGGACGGTCAGGCCGGACACCCCATGGTGCGTCCGGTCCGTCCGTTCGGACACCCCATGGTGCGTCCGGTCCGTCCGTCCGGACACCCCATGGTGCGTTCGGAAGTTCCGTCCGGACGCGCAAAAAAAAAATAAAAAAAAATATTTTAAAAATTATTTACAAAGTAAAAAAATATAAAAAAAAAATACATAGTCAATCTTCAATATCTTGCCGATGTCATGTTATTTTTTTTGGATTTTTTCGACATTTTTATGACGGTCATAAGAGCTGTAAAAAGTCGAGAGGGAAATAGTAGAGAGAGAAAGTAGAGAGATAGTGTGAAGGACAAAAACGTAATTGGGAGGCTGATGGAGACGAGACCGCGATAGCGTTTTTAAATAAATATGATCGTCTTCGTATTTAGTTTGCTTCATTTATAATTATTAGTCTTATTTATTATTGGGCTCTTTTTATTATTATTATTAGTTTTGGGCCTTTTTGGTTATTTGCAGAACTTTTAAGATTAGGGATTTCTGATGTATTTAAAGAT